TTTATTTATTATTTGGAAGTGAACAGAGACTTTCCTTCCTAGATTAAGGACGAAAGAGAAAATATTCCTTGGAACATGCTGTATTTCACAGTTATCGAACCACACCCTGTACTCTTCATGTACGAAATATTGCCAAAGCCACAAACTTTCATTGTGTGGTTCCTTTTTAAATAACCTCTTGGGTACTAAAGGTCATGATATTTTAAAAAAAAACCAAAAAAAAAAAAAAAAAAGCACAACCTGCTAGCATGAAAGAACTTTTTTTAAATGTGAAAACACAAACAGAGAAATCCTACGCAAACTTGCCATAAATATAAAGCAGGATGATAAGTGGAATAAACTATTTTCATGTTAGGACAACCAAACATGCCTCATGCAGGCTTCTGCTTCTCTTCAGCAGGAGTTATATGTTCAGGCTGAAAATCTACAGCTACATACTACTTCTTCCACTTCCTTTGATTAGGAGTCTTAATCATGCAGCCCCTTCTGACACCAGTTGCCTCAATGGGACAATGCACATAATTAAGGGCTGCAGGATTGTTCCTGTATCTGTTTTTCATCCATATTTACTTCTCATACTACCCCAGAGTAGCAATGCTACTGTCTTGTTAAAGTAATGAAATAAAGGGGTTTGAGTTGTATTTTTCAGTTACTTCTCTAAAACCGTATTTTAAGGTGGACATTTTACCATTTTGGTCTCAATCCAAAACTGAATGTTTTTAGAAAGTTTGAAAACAATCCATTCAGATATTTTAAGGTTAGTCAGACCTCTTCAAAAACAAGTCCTACACCTTCCCCCTTTCTATTTTTCTGTGTTTGTTTATATCCATATTTATTTATCCAGGTATTTCTAGAAATTCACGATATGTGTATGGTACCCATGTGATGAAATTATAAGCCATGAGTAAATTTGTCACACACTATTAATCATCTCACAGCAGCTCCTTGATGGAGCCTTCTAGACAGCAATGCTATTTGAGATCAGCCTGCTACAGAAAATACTGTTTGCACTGCAGGACTATCGATAAGCCACAGTGATGGGCTTGAGCCCCACCATGCTAGATGCTGTACACAGGTCAAAGAGATGATCCCTGCTTTCAAAGAGTTTTAACTGTTGTTGCTTTCTTTTCCCAATATGGAATTTTTCCTCCCCAAACATCATTCCCTTTTAGGGGGCCAAGAGTCTTGTACCAGGGACATCTTTTATACACCTAAATTAAGACGCTGGACCTTAAACTAATGTTTTATGTATTAAGAATATAATTTAATTATTTTGTGTCTCCCTATGAGCTTTGCACGGTGGGAGAGGGGGTAATTAAAGCACCTACCTTGTCAAGCTGATAGAAATAAACAGCAATCCCAATAAAATGCTTCTGTTGTTCTAAAATGCTCTTGTAACTTTTCCCCAGTAAGACGCAGGATAAACGATGGTGTGGTACGGAAGGGTTTGATGGGCATTCCCCTGGGATGATCTGCATAGCTCCCTCCTGACTTCATCACTGAGTAATGTACCCAGCCCAAATTTAGGTGAAACCTAAATACCAGCATCTCATCCGGCATTCTTCCCCTCCAAGAGTAATCATGGCACCTAATAGTTCTTTTAAAAGCCTGTATAGGAATTCCCAGTCCACACTTGGCCACAAATGGGTGCATTCATCTCTCTGGCCTGCTACAGCAGGCTCCAGGACCATGACTAGTCACTCACTCTGGCCGTTCCATGAACCTTAGTGCTCTCTTCCATTGAAGTGGCATATCACTGTGAACCATTCCTGTGCCATGACCCAGCACCTTGTAGCATTGGGGATTGTTTGATAACATCAGCTGCAAGGAGGGAGGAAACATCTGGTGAATGGAAGGGGAAACAGAAGAAACAAAACTGCCCAAACTGCAAATGGAAGGTAATGAGTCCTCCCCCACATCCTAATGACGGGGTAAAGTGAGGAAGTTAGACCCAGCAGTCGTGGACAACAAGAAGGGACAGCCCTGGGGAACACCAGGATGGATGTGGGAAGACCGCAGTGAGGACAAGTGTGGCCAGCTGGGAAACAGCACAAGGTGGGAGGAAAGGCAGCGGGGCCACACCGCACTGTGCTACTGGAAAAACCAATGGAGGGAGAGGTGTGAGGGCAGGGAGAGACAATACCACAGACTGAGAAATGAGGGGGCAGAACAAGGCAGAAGGGGAACAGAAAACAGGACTGTTACGGTAACACCAAGTTTAAGAAATGAACAGCAAGAGCAGAAGCAAGCTGGGTTCTTTCTACTTCATAAAACATCCCATCACAATAGGGTTTGTGCAGGCTTTCGACTTGTCTCTTTTGTTTTGCATCCTTTTTTGGGAAAGCAAACAGTGTATTTTAAGTGTTGGCTATACACAATGTTAAGTAGATTCATTACTGAATTGAGGTAACTTGATATAAGCTGTGTTAAAACTGTCAGTGAGGCAATGGGTTTTCCTCTAGATATGGTGAAATCTTGGGGCTGTCCATTATCTATGGGTTTCATCATTGTAGGATGCATCTCAGCACAGGGGGGTTTTGCAGTGGGGGGCCATTGGCAGTGTGGTAATCACCTCCTGCCCCCTTCCCACCATATCCATGTCCCTGTAAGCTAATTAAATGGATCTATCCAGAATTTGAACCCATAACCAAATCAGTTTTAAAATGCACTTTTAGTTAAAATGGTACAGCTTTGCATGCAGACAAGAGGGACATTTTAAAGGCATAAATTATAGTTGGGTGTTTAATCCTCATGGAAAGTCAATGCAAGGTAGGAACTTAACAGCTCTTACTCTTTAGAGCTCCCCAAGGATCTCACTCTGTTTGTGAAGCATGTGTACATTTACAATGTTATTATAATGGTACTTAGTTATAATCATTCTTTGTAATATTCAAGTTTTTCGTGCATCCTTCTGAGGGAAGATTAAAATTGTCAACATAAACTACTAGTTACAAGTTATCTGTGCTTTCTGCCTAAGATGTTTTTAACTGTATGGCTACTTGATACAGTAAGTGAAGTGGCATAGTGTCATAGCTGGTAGGGTCGGAAGGGACCTGAGCAGATTATCAAGTCCGACCCCCTGCCACAGGCAGGAATGAAAGCTGGGATCAAATGAGCCTCCTTTTGAAGACCCCCACAGTAGGAACGAGCACCGCTTCCCTTGGATGTTGGCTCCAGATCCTAGCCACCCTGACTGTGAAGTAGCACCTCCTGATATCTAGCCTGAATCTACTCTCAGTCAACTTATGGCTGTTATTCCTAGTGACTCCTGGTAGTGCTCGGAGGACCAAGGACTCTCTTGTTCCCCGCTGGTCCCCCCTGATTAGTTTGTAAATGGCCACCAGATCCCCCCTCAGCCTTCTCTTGTGGAGGCTGAACAGGTTCAGGTCCCATAACCTCTCCTCGTAGGGCCTACCCTGATGCCCCCTGATCATGCGGGTAGCCCTCCTCTGGACCCTCTCCATGCTGTCCACATCCCTCCTGAAGTGTGGCGCCCAGACCTGGACGCAGTAATCCAACTGCGGCCTGACCAGCGCCGCGTAGAGGGGGAGGATCACCTCCTTGGACCTGCTCGTGATGCATCTATGGATGCATGACAAAGTGCGGTTGGCCTTACTGACCACGTCCTTACATTGACAACCCACGTTCATCTTGGAATCAATAGTGACTCCAAGATCCTTTTCTGCCTCTGTGCTGACAAGAAGGGAGCTCCCCAGCCTGTAGGTCCGCTGCTGGTTCTTCCTTCCCAGGTGCAGATCTATTAGATCAGCAGTTGCTGATCTATTTTACCAAGATGATCCAGCTGACATCACTGAAGATAGAAATGTTTGCTGAAGAGGTGTAGGACTTCTCTTTATAATACTGAGGTGGAAATACATAAAGGTTATTTCTACTGAGGTGGAAATACTTTTATACTAATCCCAATGTCTGTAACAAGCTTTTAAACCTAGTAAAGTCACAAAAAAGCTCTAGACTAGGCTAGAGCCTAGTCTAGTTGAGCCTTGGCTCTTGGACTTTTCTTGGACCACAGTGGCTACTCCAACACTATCACAAATATTGATGTCACTTTCAAAAACGAGATTCCCAAAATCTGTATTTTAAATTAGCATGTCATTTTAAAGTTCTCCAAAGTGCACTGTTTGACACTTTTTCCCAATTACACTGTACATTGCAATAACCATTCTGTTCTTGGTTTAAAGTACATAAAGATTATTTCTATTAATCTGTTGTATAATAATAACTCTTTTATGGGACTTAATGCAAAGTAGGAACTTCCTACCATTTCCTTTGCCCATCTCAACTAACCCTTGAAGAAATGGACTTTGTATAGTCAGTTTAAAGAGGGAACCAGGCAAGAAGTCTCCCTCCATCCTTATGCTAGAAATAGTACAAGTTGGTTGGCTGCCTTTATTATAGCACTTGGGCTTTAAGTAGCACATAAGGCTTGTGCACATTCCCTTTGCACAGGTTGTAAAACTGTTTGCTTGTTGTTTTATATCCCTACCCCTCCTTTTGCATTGAAGCCAAGCCTCTGGGTAAGTGGGGCTCTACAGACCTCTGGGGATGTACAGTCCACTGCGTGAGCTCTCTGTGGTCCAGCTCCTTGAAAGTCTTTTTTCAAGGCGAGTGTACCTTTTCTTCTCAAAATCACAGTCTGTGGTTTGGGCAAAGGCTATAATAAGAATAACTATTGGTTAAATTCAAATAATTAATGAAACTGTATCTACTTGCAGCAGATCTGATTAAGACCCATTCTCCTGTGCCTTATGCCTGGTTTGGACATTGACACCTGTGTGTATGGAGCACTAATTCAGAATAATGGTGTTCAGTAGCCGGTTTGCATTCACTTTGCTCAGATGACAGTGACTAGACAAGACATGGGATACTGGCAAAATCAGGCCCATCTCTTCAATAACATGGAATAAAATCCAAAGGAAACATCTGCGTGAGCGTTGCCCACTGAAGTTGAAAGTAACAAGCTGAACAGACAAAAGGTCAATTGAAAACTGTTTAATTGTTTATCAAATAAGATTATGGAATCCTTTCAAAAATCCAGCTTTTAAATATGGTACATTCACTTTCTCACAGAATATTTAAATATTCAGGTCATTTATGGTATATTTCTTCTATTTGGATTAAAACATTGGATAAATTAGACAACAGCTACCAAAAGATATCACAACTTATACAGACAAATCTAAGTAACAATTAAAAAAACCTCACATAGCAAAGAAATTAAGGGCCTTTAGGAAAAATTACAAAATTTCTGCTGAAAAATATATTTGATCATTTTTGTCTAGCTAGAAAATATATAGCATACATTTAAATTTCTCTCTCAAATTAAATCATATAGTTTTTATTTAAGTTAATAAATATGTACAACAAAAACTCTTATTACTCAAAGAATATAAATAGTAAATACTTTATTAGAGCCTGGCCCATTGCATTCTCATGCAATGGCTTTAGTGGAACTTTTCTATTTTGGATGAGCTAAGAAGCATAATCAGCATCTTAGTGTTATCAACAGATTAGTAGCTTTTGTAGAGTGACTTTGTAACAAAAAACAAATAAACACCCTTCCCTGCCCAAACCCCCCCCCCCCAACCAAAAAAACGCTCAACCTCATAGCTGACACCTTAGAGCTGTTCCAGTCAGGAATTTCTATAAATAGTTAGACATAAGGTAGGGGAAATAATGTTCCAGTTTAATTACTGCTAGCAGTAATTAGGGGGAAGTAGTCACTGGAGAATAAATGAAAAACATCTTGAATTAAACACTTCTCATTTTCACCATTTTAACTTGGTTCCCTACCCTGTCTGAAAATAATTTCTGGGAGACTCTATACGTTGTAAACCTGTGAAGAACCTTGACAACCTTCTTCAGACTTTGGATTGTTGTTTTGGGAAAGTGATACGTTTTCAAGTGCTTCAACCCAAACATGAGGCCGTTTATAGTATCTTGATCTCCATTTTTTACTCTCCACAGGTTGAGGAGCTTTAGGATTTGTTGTGTAGGTGTACACAGCTTCATGGTATGCTCAATATCTTCTTTTCCCACTTTCTTTCCTGGTAAACTTGCCATCAAGATGTTGAGATGTTCAAAGGAGAGATTAAGTTGGCCAACATGTTTTAAGACACTATTTTCACAAAGATCAAAATCTACAGAAAACAAAAAAGCACAGAAGTACATAAATAAGATTCATTATCATTTTATAATAGTTTAAAAACAAGCTCTAAAGTCAAAAGGACACGTTTTTTCTAAATGTTTTTAGTTTTTAAGTTCAAATAAATCTTTTATCGTTGTTGTATTAGGAGCAAACCATGCAAAATACTTAAAAGCATATATAAATTTGCATGTTTATTTGAACACTGTTGTAACATGCATAAGGTGTTCGGTGCATGAGGTGGGGCTCTGAATTTTATATTGCAATGAATAAATATTTCACTGATAGAGTGACAATATCTAGGCAATCCTTACTACAACTGTCACTGGACTTCAGATTCACATTTGCCTGCAAAAATACTTTTGACATTACAGTGATATGAACAGACATGAATTTAAATGCAGATAAAAATGCAAATTCTACAGTATCTTTCTTCTCAAGGTTAACAGCTCAAATCCATTCCTTGTAGGACAGGGGTCATTACAATCTGGTTGGCTCTGATATTGGCTCATATAAAAGGGGTTAGTCATTTTCTCTGAAAATCCTACCAAGTGTTAGCATTACAGATATTTCTGGGACTATTTCAGTTTTGGCATCAATATGGGCAGTTTCAGCAGACAGGTGAAGGAATAATTAGGCTTGAAAGATAGGGATACTCCCAGCAGGAAGGGAAAAGCACCTCTGTTGGGCTGTGAGTGGGTGTTGATTTGCAAGTCCTCATAATATTCACATTCTGTAGATAAGCAGGGGTTTAAGTCCCAAGCCTGCTAAGCTTGTCTGGGTAGAGCCTTGTATGATATACTGTAAACTTAAATTTTGCCCCCATTGATGCATACTCACTGATCTTAATAGCTGTTGCTCTAATGCAGGTGTGGGCAAAATGAGCCCTGCATTATCACAAAGCTTTGCTCTCTGGGACTTGGATATATATTACTGACTCAGGTTTCATAAACTGGAGTTGCATAAGTAGTCTTTTTTAATGAATACAAAGTGCTAAATACTTTCCATAGTCACATCCTTGGACTGCCCATTATGTGTAGCATGCACATAAAGCTTAGTCATACCCATTCAACTCTCTAGGTGTGGGCACATAATCAAGGACAGAATTTGACCCCACTAGTTTAAAGAACTGCTATTTAGAAAGTTACTTCTCCTGTGCTTGCTGTGCCATATGAATTACCTCGAATTTTCTTCTTGACCATATCTTGTTCTTTGTTTTGCTGCTTCCATAATTTCAACAATTGGAAGGCCTGTTCTTGAGAACTATGTCTTTGTTTAATCCATTCTATATTTTCTGCAGTAATCTTTGTGCCAGGCAAATTGTCTGCTAGTATGTTCAGCCAGTTAGGGGAGAGTTGGGTTGGAACAGTAAATCTGAACAATGCTTCCTCACACAGGGTTACATCTAAAAACAAATGTGGGGAGGAAAAAATAATATTCAGTCAGATGTCTGGATCCTTGCTCTGGGAAAAACAAACCAATGTGATCAAAGATAGTAAGAAAATCCATTTTATAAACAGGTCTAAAATAAGAACTGGCCTCTCTTCAATACTGTGTGTCTTTTAACATCCTGAACATTTTATTACAGTTTGCCCATCACCTGAGTATCTGAGGTCTTAGCAACTGTTATGGCAGCTACTGTTGCTGCTGGTAATTTCATTTTGAGAATGTAAGAAGATATAATTTCAGTACACTTAGCATTATACATACCTATTCCACATTTTTGAGCTGATGCATCGCCGTTTCCCTGACACACGTTGTCACGAACTGCATTTCCTTTTGATGCTGTTTTAAGGCCTAGCGCACTACAGTTTGTGTGCTTCTTACAGGGTGTTTTGGATGAAGTTTCATTTGAGAAAAATCCCTCTGGACATCTCATACAATTGGTGTCACTCTCAGGGGTACCTTTAGAAAGACAAAACATGCATTCCTTTACACAGGATATATGGTGTGTGTGTTAGGTTTCATGCAAGAAAATAATGAAAAATAAAATATGACTAATTCAGAATTTTGTGCTTGCTTGCACACGTAGGAGCACTAATTTGGAAAATATATTGAGAAAAGCAAAAGAATTTTTTTAAGGAAGACGCTCATACAACAAAATTATGTTAAATACAATTTTTAAACTTCCTTCTGATTTCTGCATACTGTCACAAACTAATAAGTAGTTGACTTCTCAGATGCTCACAAACAGGATCTGTCCTTCATTTTCATCCACATAGAGTTGTGGGAAAATTCCTAACTGGGACAAATATGGGTCTGAATTCACTTCTGCAACATCTGGACTCATTAAAATTAATTATTTTGGTTGTACAAGAACCAGAATTTAGCCCATTTATTTAGGTCTGCTGGAGGCCGGGGCTTTTTCTCCTCTCCATGTGCAGCAATATAATTTAAGTACATCCTGCATATTGAAATTAAAATCAGACATCTATTGTGATTTTTCCTTCATTTCCTTAGATACGCACATTTGCTGAAGTTTCTCCAACATGCATATATATTTCTTAAATATGAAATTCTGGAGTTATACTTTATAACACCACATATTGTAAAGTTTCTAAAGATTTTACAGATACATTCCTGTTTAGCAACATGGTAATTTCAACATTATAGTTTGACCCCTCTCTCTTGGAGTAATTATATTTTTATATACTTACCTAAAACCAAATGAACATGTATAATCAGAAAAACATAAACAGATTCTACTTGTTTGAACTACCATTACATAGCATATATTTATTATCCTGGTTAAAGAACTGAGACAAAGGGACAGTGCTGTGTCATGGTGATTTAGAGCAAGAGAATTAATGTACGGGACTAATTTTGACAGTAACTGAAAAGGATTATCTTATCAAATGAAAAAAAGAAAAAACTCAGCTGCAATCAGTGCTTATCTATTATAGTTTGCTTATTCCCATTTAGCAAAGCATTTGAAACCAATGATATTTAAAGCCTATGCCTAAGGTCAAGCAGGTGCTTGACTGCTTTATTCAATAAAGATGGACTTAAGCATATGCTTAAATTCTCCTTAAGAATTAAAAACTATATTTGCATATGCAAATACCTCCATCTAGTGTATTTGAGGAGTATTTGCTCTTAAAAGCTAGATGCATAGAAGTTTGCAGGAAATAAGCAAGTCCAACTATATATATTGTGCTTCTTAGACCCCATTAGAAACAAGAGAATATGAAGCTCAGTGAGTTTTCCACTAGCCAAGAAATAAAGAATATATTGCTATACAAAGATATCATGCTACTTTGTTCTTCACATAAAAGTAAAAACAAATAAAAATAAAAACTAAAGAAAACAAGGGGTCTTACTGTTCTCATCTGAAAATCAAAAGAGATTCTGTATAATTACTTAAGAAATGATGTGTTCCCAGGAAAGAACAGTCATTATGGAAGGCGGCTGCCCTGGTAATCCGCTATGTTTTATGCAATGTGAGTGACTGGAAAAAGTACAAAAGCTGAGACAACAGAAAACTACATGTTGGACATGATTAGGCATCAGCTAGCATTGCGAAATCAGACTTTCTGGTAACTTCCCCTTGCACCAGCTGCGCCTCTTTCAAGTTTTTTCTTACAAGGCGGGACAGTGATTCTTTAAGAGGGCATCACAGCATCCTGGGGTGCTATAAGGTGTCACACAATGTTAGCAATGTTATTTTTAGAAATATGATTCATAAAGTAATGCAGCCATTTTAAATAGAAATCAAGTGTTGTGGCCTTTCTGAGTTCTTTGCAACAGAAAAAACTGCTCTGTTATTTTCCTGTAGTCAAACAGAGGTGAAAATTAAGAGATGGCATTTTCAGAAGGATGCCTTGAGTCTACTCATGGTGCCTTGGGTCTAAAAAGGTTGAGAACCACTGCTCTTGGGTGTGAAGCCAGACTTCTCATTCCAAGAACTGCTGTTTGGGTGTTTACCTGCAGGTTCCCCTTTCCTCTACATCTTCCTCGCCAGAGATGGGCAGAAAAGCAGGTAGTTTGGGAGTACACTGAAGTCCGAGACACTACAGAAATAGGGCAGTCTCTGGTGACTGCTAATCCTCTCTGCTATGCAGGCCTCCCTAGCATTAGCTTCCTTGACCTCCCGTTGACTTCTCCCTTTCTGTTTCAGTCCCTTTCTCCCTTATGGGACATAGCAGATACAAAATGCTGCCTGCATCAGTACTAATTCCTAAGTGGATTTCTGCTAATGTGAAGTACTGCCATAACACTGGGCTACACAGTGCAAAAAGCTTTTAAGCCTTGCATTTAGATTCAGTGGTATCAGATCACATAAGCTGCTCTTGCAAGCCATTTCAAAAGGACAGAAACCGTTTAAGAACAGGCAATCTCATATACCTTTACGGTGGGAAGCTCATGGGAACAGCTGTACATGTGAGATTTCAGCTGTATCCATACCTAAACAGGAGAATGGGCCCCTTGCAATTTTTACCTGCTTCAGATACAAAATCATATTAACAGTTTTAAACCCAGAGATTAAATTCCTAAACTCTTCTGCAATATTGGCTTTAATATTGGCACAATTCTAGATCCAACCAATGCCTTGTCAGTCCTTTGAAGGAATTCAAATTCTTAGTTAAAAGGACAGTTTCAAAAGTAAGAAACCTATATTATTAACATTACAGAACACCAACATTGATTAAATTAGTAGAACTAAAAGCAGCACAGAGATGTGTGACAAACAATGTGATCAATACACAGAACAAGCAACAAAAAAGTGTTAATTGCCAGAAACAACTTGCAGAGAAAAAAAAATCTACATAATCCAGGTATAGGAATAGTCTGAGGAGTGAGTATCCCAAATAACTATTCTGTGCAATGAGCTCTTTGGGATGGTTGCTACATTGACACCTTCTAACACAGATTACAGGACTGATTTCCAGAGTAGGCAGATGTTGAGGATGTATTACACATGGTATTTAGTCAGGAAGGTGACCAGTGTTGTATTGAAAGATTTATGATGAACAACAATGTATGCTTGAGTGCTAGGACTAAGATAAAGGAAACAAAATACAGTAACAACTATTACAGTAATGTTCCTCCAAGGGTCTCACTCTAATCTTGTTGGCTTCCCCTCATCTGTATTTCCAGAGAGGGAGCACTAAATAAGTGATATTACACTGTGAGGTGATGAAGGCTGGGAACAGAATTTGAATCTTGAGTATTTTTAATTCTTCAGCCTGTCCTAGCCATTGAATCACAAAGCCTCCTTATGTGGCTAATTGGGATTTTTTTTACACACTTTGGCCACATTGCACTCTGGGTTGCACCAGGGCAAAACCACTGCATTCAACGATGCTACCCAAATGTAACCGAGGACACAAGAGATTGTGTGACAGACCATTTATCTTTTTCTGGAAGACTAACTGGTCTAATATTGTGGGTGTGCTCTTGAACCGCAAGCTTCCGTTTTATTGGCCGCTGCAGTTTGAAGGACACCACACCCGCCTTCTGCCTTCAAACTCCTTTTGAGTCTTCTAAGTGGATTTCTATATGCTCTTTGTTTTAGCTCTATATTGTCCTGTTTCTAATATAGCTACACAAACTGCTACACCGTGCTGACCTACCTAACACAAGTGTGTTCAGTACTGACCTACAGTTCAAGAACCTCTAAAATGTTTTGGCTAGCATTCATAGAATAGTAACTCTTGCCTGGTGCATACAGCCAGGAAAACTATTAGGCAATTTTGAAGATTAGGGTATTTAAACTGAAAAATCTCTTAGATGTCCTCTGTTTTTCCATGTGTGCCCTTTCCTGTATTTCTTTTTTAGGTAGTTATCTATCTCAGGTGGAACACAAGCTTGCAATTCTCTTAGGCATCATTAAGCGTTGGTGCTAGACTGGGCCATGTCATGTGCAGAATGATAAATAATTTGTTTCAAAACAAGAACTTATTCTTGGCTTAACAATTTATTTTGTCTAAAATGAAGAATATGGTCCCCTGAAAACATTACTGTAATCTTTATCCCTCCCAGACACGCAGCATATTACCAGCTTGTCTGAGAAAGAAATAGTTGGCTGTTTTTTTGATGATAATAATGTTTTCCCTAAGAGTTCTCATTTAAGAGGTTGGTAATTAATTACTACCACATATTGTTCTGACTTTAGTGCTACATTAATATTGTTATACTTATGCTTTTGGTATTATGTCAGTTAATGCTTCTGGTGTTTGTCAAGATATACAGGTGCTTGAAGCAGCAGAATTCAAAATGAAAAACATTATTATTTATCACACATAAACTACACTCAGGATAATGTTCCTTTAAAAGAGGTAATTCATCATGTTTCTCATTAGAGTGCAATTTGCTACATTTGGTACTGCCATTAAGTTATATATTACAGTAGAAGCACAGTATTCCATTGAGAACTGGTCCTTTGGCTGTAGTCCAAAGCAATGTTAGAAAGGTAACAGGTTCAATTGACTTTACAATTTACTACCCTGTAATTTCACCTGGACAAGCTTGTTTCCTAATCTTGAAGTGCCACAACTCTTCAGTGCTCTGAATGGCACTAATTCATTTTGTTGTGTATTGAAAACAGATACGTACCTGGTTGGACAACACCAGATCCAGGAGGACATTCTGTGTGTTTTAAACAAAATTCTAGGTCGAGATATCTCCCTTCAATGCATTCACAGATGCGGTTCTGTGTGCTGTTGCATTCTTGCTTAACATACTGTAGCTCTTTGCATACCACACTGCAGTATTGGCATTCATCATTGCTGTTCCAGTCCTCGGAGTAGTACTGATCTGGACATGGTGAGCATTCAGTTTTCCTTGTAGCTGTACAGTGCTGTTTTAAATATGTTCCAGGAGGGCACAGGTCACACATCAGTTGACGAGATGTAGCTGGATCATAATGGAGGTACTTTGGGGGAGAGGTTTCCTGGGTGGCCCATTTAATTGAAATATCCAAGAACTAGCAAGAGGAAAATAAAATATCGGTCTCTTTAGTCCTACAAGGCAGCACAATCACAGAAAAGCCTACAATTTCACTTATTTGATTAGGCACCTTATGTCTATCTCTTTAATGCCACTGTGGTGAGACACATGCTATACAGGTTTCCCTCGCCAACCATGGTTTTGCCAACCACGGTTTTGAGTATCCATCCTTAATATTCTATATACCATTTTGGCTACCGCAGTATACAGTTTTGAGTGACCACGGTTTTCTGCGGCTGCAAATCAGCCCGCCACCTGCCATTTTGCTCATAAGCCTTTTGTCTTGCCAACCATGGTTTTGCCAACCACGGGAACCTTCAGGAACCTAACCCCAGCGGTTGGCGAGGGAAACCTGTAGTAATATATGAGATCCTAGCTAACTTCCCGACTCTTGCATACCTGTATTATTATAGTAAATTATTTAAAAATAATCCACCATTCCACACTGAAACTATATTAAAATGTTCTCGGACCAACAAAATCCAGACGCAATACAGGCAATTCAATGACAAGATTTGATGTTTTATCACTCTACTTCCCTGGGCCTATTCATTACCTAATTTACAGTCTCATCCTGCAAATGCTTACTTGCTTAAGTAGCTGTGTGCAGGATAGGGCTTGTAGTTTGTGAGTTTTGTGGGAAAGGGGCTGTGGGTACCAATTCTTCTCTCTCTCATATCACTGGAACTTCAGTGGACAAGGAACCTGCCCCCTGCTTCCCTAGCTGAAGAGCTGATGCCCTGATTTACTGGAATTACTCCTGATACACATTATTACGGGAGGAAAATCAGACCTTCCAGAAGTGGTAAATATCTTATTGTACAACTGAACCACCTTCATTATGCTCAGATTTAAAAAAAAATGGCTTGCAGCATTCCTGTGGGCACTTTCAGAGGACAAATCCTTACAATGTATAATTTTATTGCCAATAAAACAAATATAACAGCATGGTTTTGTTTTTACAAAGTGCCTTGGTTTAATCCAGCACTGAAATCTCGGCGCTTCAAAGACAGTATGCAGCAGCTACTTCCCATCAAACAGGAATGCTGTGCAGTATTTTGAGGTAGATGTGAGGAATGCTGCAGTTAACAAATTGCGAGGAGAAAGTAATCACACAAAGCTGGAATGGGCTACAACACTAAGGTTAATGCTTTCTGTCACAGAAGTTTGGCGGTACAGCTTATCCAAAGTGCAACAGCAACTATAACATTACAAATACTATGCTGGTGCATTGGTTCTACACTTGGGAGAGGCACAACCTAATGTATAGTCAGATCAGCTTCCTGCAGGAGCTTACGTTTTTCTTGTGGGTCTCAGCAAGTATTGATCTGGGATGACCCTGCTTGGCTTGTGAGATGCCTGGGATGTATTATCATTTGGGCATCCAGTTACAAATGTTGTTTTGCAGTTTCTCTGATGCTTTATAAATGAAGTGAGCTCCTTGTTTACTCCACTGTATGTTGTGCTGTGGCACACAAGGTCACTGGGTAGGAACATGGCCTTGGGATATGTAATTCAGCTCTGGCCAAATGTTGTGCATTCTGCTAGTTGCTTCTATATTTCACATCTTGTTGGTTTTATAAAATATTTGGTTCGGATATTTTCCCATGTATTAAAGGCTACACAAGCAAAACTCACATTGATACTAGTTTTGAATTTGTGAACAAGAGTGCAAGCGAGCTGTGGACACATCACCACTACTTAACATTTAGGCTTCAACACAGATATCACATTGGAATGGCTTTTAAGGCATGTCCACGTTGCATTGGACAATGCTAGAGAGCACTGCCAGGAAAACACAGCAGTGTCAACTTGCTCCTGTTTTGCCTGTACCAAGCATTAGAAAATTGTGACATAGTCATTTCTGGTTCACACCCATGAACCTCACAAGGTCTCAGGTGTGCTTCTTAGAACAGACACACTGCAGTTTTGGAACTTGGTACAAACATGATTTCATGGCGATACACTCAGTATGTTGCAATGTTTGCCCCAAATTTCTGAACTCCTGGTAGGGATCAATAAGATTTCTCTGCCTCCCCTGAGAAATCCAGCTTTCATTAGGGAAATTATGGGAGAAGAACACAGCTTTCATTGATTCATTCTTAGATTTTGAAGGCCAGAATTTTAGATTTCAAAGCCACGTTAAATCTACTAGTCAGACATCCTATGTAACCTGCGCCACACTGTTTTATGATTCACTCCTGTACTGAACCCAGTAACAGGTGCTTAACTAAAGCACATCTTCTAGAAAGGCAACCTTCATGTGAAGACTTCAAGAGATGGAGATTCCACCATCTTATCTATTTTGTTCCAATACTTAATCACCCTCCCTGGTAAACAGTTAAGTCTTACTTCAAATTTTAATTTGTCTTGATTGTGCAGCTCTATTTCTCTTAAGTGTCTGGATCTGTTTCACAGCATCTATTTAACCAGAGAGTGAAGCACATTTTTGAAAAATGAATGGCTCTCCATGAATGGCTCTTGGTGAACCATGTATACACCCTTGGTAAACCTCAGGCTATTACTCTAGCAATAAGGAAGTCCTGATAATCCCATCAATCACTGATGCTAACAGGCAGGTTTCCCTTTAACATTTTTTTTTAAATTATTATTCAAAAGAGAGACCATTTAGGAAAAATGAAACTCCCTACTTATAGATTCCAAGACTTGCATGGACATATTCTTTTCTAGTATGTTAGAACAACACCAGACTGCAATGTAAGGCGCAGATATTGAATTACAGCCATAATCCACATGCTTTAGATGTTTATGGAGCCCTGAGAGATTCAGGTAACTCTGCCCAAATGGGAAGCTGGCATTGGGTGAAAATTATTATGTGGTACAAGTGAAAATTACAGCTGCTCCCAAGTAAAGACTATGAAGTCTCTCTACTGTGCAACATATTTCAACCCTGCCACCAGACAAGACTTCTCTTATGGCCACATTAGAATCCTATGTCTGTCTTGCCATTTACTATCTCGCTGCACAGGCAGGAACACATTTTCAGGTACTTTTGTGCATCCAGATTTTTTATGGCATTTGGCAGCCAGAAGCTCCCACTGTGACATTCATGTTGAATGAGAAGAGAAGGATTTGGCCCACTGGCACTGCTGTCAGTTTCCATAGGAGATCACACAGAGGAGACATTAGAAATGGTGTTGTAGGAGGGGTCCACAGTTTAAAAGAGCTCAGATCCCATAATCAGAGTCAGATGGTATAGAGGTTGGTGGGGAAGAAGAGGCCACTAGGTGAAATTTTAAAGCAATTCCAGCTGTGTTCAAAATGGAGTTAGTTCAGATTTTAGCTAAATTTAAATGTAAAAGGTACCAAGGTGGGTAAATATATTAAAAAAACCCCAAAACTTATAGTAAGCATAGATGCACATTGATTCCGCTGAACAGAACCTGTAATAGTTTAAATTAAGGTATAAAATAGAAATAATAATAGCAGAAAAACAGACCATTCACACCAGGTGTTTTGTTTCTTTCTTTTTTTTTTTAAAGAAAGACCATCACCACTATCCTCTTTCATTCTCAGAAACACATGATGTCTAGATGTAATAAAGTGCAATCAGTCATTGATGGAGCTGTATTTATGTAGCATCACAGTGTTCTATTTTTAAAGTAATTATTTTGAAAGATATTAAGCCAACTCTGCAGCCATAAATGGAATTGTTATCTGGAAACCTATTAAAGTTACTATCACTTAATTATGAACAGTTCTATGCTATCTATTACAGGTTTTATATAGAATCTGATTCCCTGGGCAATTTACAAAAATACTGAAAATACACAAAAAAGGCCCAAGATGGAAGCAGACAAATGTACTCAAAATACCAAAACCCAACCATTTTAGATTAAAGATAAAAAACATACTACACATCCAAGGCATTCTGGTTATGGCTGCGTAAATTGGAGGCCTAATTTTAGTCTCCTAAATCCACATTCAAGCAGCTAAATAGAAGTGTCCTATTTTTCAGAAATGTTATAGTAATATCTGCATACAGTCCTTGCCCTAAAGAGTTTACAGGCATTGTTTCTGCTTAATGTTGGCTCATTCCTAGCTAGATATGCAAGGTGATTTATATATAGTACAATCCACTCATCCAGATAATAGTATTCAGGTGAAAGGCCTTTTCCTAGAAGTGGGGTGAAATATATTAAACAGTCTCTGCCTTATAACGCCCCCTTCTACATGTGCTACATGTATCACATGATTATCAGATTAAATGCAAAATTGATTTAGATTGGCTACACATGCAAATGAACTGTCATACTATTAAAAGGTCCAACCAGCTATAGAGTTAGAGCTGGAAAATCTGTAGTAATTTCATAGCTGGTTTCTATCCAGATTTAATTTGCACATGTAGCATAGCTATGCCCCCATGGCTGGAAGCCCCATCAGCACTTGGGCGCACCATGAGTTACGGTGGGTAGAATCTCATCAGCCGACAGGACGCCCATTGCAGCAGTGACCCATGTGCTGCTGCAGATGGAAGTCCTGTCAGCTGATGGGACTCCAATCCATGGTGGCTCCTGAGATGCTGCTATAGATGAGAGTCTTGTTAGCTGACAGGACTCCCATCTGCACAGCAGGAGCCAGTGCAGGGGAAGCCTGGGATCATGATACTGGGCTCCCCAATGCTGGCGATAAGGTATGATAGGAGCTGGTGCTGGATACCACAATCATGCCTCTTGCCATACACATGTGCCATGGCAGGAAGTGTGATTGTGTGGATCATGCACTAGATCTTATCACGCCTTTACCTGAGTCTCTAGAAGGGCTTTAAGAAATAGCCCTGTTACCATACATAAAAACATAACCTATATATTGAATCAGCTGTATTGATGACCTAGGACTGCAAATGATGGAAAGACAAAGGTATAGCTTCACTCAGTGAGCTAGGCTTATTCATGGTAACTGAAGATACAATCTTTCATCTGAACTCTAAAGTTACATTTGATGGCTTCTTTTTTT